TCCCCCCTTCCTCCTGGTTCCCCACGATCCCCCTTCCTCTCCCCCCCCCCCACTTTCCTCTGCTCCTTGCTTCTCCGAGTGCCTCTGTCTGTCCCGGTCGCCCAGCGCAGGGTCCCAGCTCGCCCGCCCTCCGCGGAGCTGTGGGGCTGGGACCTGGCCGGGCCGAGCAGGGCTGGGTCTCAGAGCGCCCTTTGGTGCCCCAGGGCCATAGGCGCTGGAACTAGGGGTGCTGGTTGTGCTGCCGCACCCCCTGGCTTCAAGTGGTTTCCATTATCTACAGGGTTCAATGGCTCTCAGCACCCCCATTATACAAACTGTTCTGGGGAGGGGGGCAATATGGAGCTGAAAATCACGTGTGTGTGTATAAGGGGGTTATGGGTGAGTGGGTCTGTGTGTTGCAGTGTGTGGGGTGGGTGTTTGTGATGTATGTGGTCATGCAATGTGGTGGTGGTGTTGTGTGATGCCTGCGTTGTGTGATCCATGTGTTGCGGGATGGGGTGGTGGGTGTTCCTGTGTGTGATGCACGCGTTGTGTTACAGGTGTCTGGTGATGTTGGTGTCCTGTTACAGGGCTGTGTGTGTGTCACGCAGGGTGTGTGTGCGTTGTGTGGTAGGTGTGATGTGATGGACACTGTCGCTTTGGAATTAGAGTGAAAAACACCTGCCGCTTTTTTCTGGCTTGTTCTGCAGTTGCTTGGTTTGAGGATTTGTACATTCCTGCAGGGCAGGTTTCCCTGGTCCCAGTTATCCAGATTTGGAGCGGGGACGGGGACGGTTAATCCTGATTTAGGAAGAGGTTTTGTCTGTCTGGAGAGGTTTGCATGAAATCCGAAGCCAGCGGGGCTCCTGGGGTCTGTTTCCAGCTGTTTGGAGGAAGTGATCTCTAATGGTTAGAGCAGGAGGGACTAGCAGCCAGGACTCCTGGGTTCTGTTCCTAGCACTGGGAGGGGAGTGGGGCCTAGTGGGTTGGAGCAGAGGGATACAGATGTAAGGCCCCCATTGCCAGACCCCCTAAGCCAGCCGGTCCCCTTTGTCTCCTTGTACAAACAGTATTTGGGAGACTGTGAAACTCCCTAAGGTTCACCTGAAACTCCCTGTAATCAGACACTGTGTGAAAGGCCCTGAAACCCAAAGCACTGCAGCAAATGGCCCATCAGCCCCTGGATTGTTGTGAGTCTTTGCTCAGCTTGGTCTGCAAGCTACAGACATGAACACCTGACCTCCCTCCCCCCCCCCCCGCCCCCCCGCCCAAGGAGGCTATGTCTGCTCCTAGTTCTCAATGCAGCAAGCAATAGGGCTCTAGGTGGCTCACGGGAGCAGGGAATGGGACACGGGGACTTGCCCCGCTACAGTGACTCTGATCTGGCCACAGGGTGGGGGCACTGGCTGAGTCTGGGGGGCAGAGGATGGGACACGAGGCCTTTCTTCTCTGGGGGTGCTGGCTCAGATCTGGCCCCAGGGAGGTGGGACTGGCTTGGGATGAGGAGGGATGGGGAGCAGGGAATGGGAGATGTTCCCACCGCTGAGGTATGTGAGCAAGGGTCTGCGTGAGCTTGCCTGGCCCCTGTCCTAGGGTTGCACAGAGAACTCAGCCTCTGATCTGCCCCCATGGCCACCGCTAGGCTGTGGCTCCCTGGGGTAACGGCACAGAACCTAGTCAAGGTACAGCCTGTGGGTTGGGTTGGGTCGTGTCTAATGCTGGGCCAGGCTCCCACCGCCCCTGCTAGTGCCTCTGAAGCTGGCCCGGGCTCCTCTAGAAAAGGAGGTTATGTCCCTGTGTCACGCCGAAGTAACCTGTCCTGCGGGTCTGGCTCTATATTTAGCCTCTCCGCTCAGGCTGGAGGAATGACAGGCAGCCACAAATAGCTACTGGCCCATGACTGGGTCCCAGGCTAATGCAGGTCACTTGAGGCGCTACTGAATCAGAAGCGCCCTCCCTGTGGGGAGCAAAAGAGATGGGTGTATATGGCCCATCGAGCCCCTGGCTGAGGCTGGCTCTTGTGGGCCCCCTGAGAACTGGTCTGAGATCTGGCAAATTCACTTCACACAGGCCTCTGAACGGGACATCAGCTTGGGTGGTTTGAGAGCAATACGGATCCAAGCTAGCTCCCCCTAGAGGGTAAAGGCCCCATGTCCCATTCCTCACCACCTTGAGGCACTCAGTCGCTCTGCCCTGGGGCTGGATCGGGCCTTGGCTCCGATCCAGCCCCCGGGCAGAACGACTGAGCCCCATAGAGGGGAAAGTCCCCATGTCCCGTTCCCCTGAGTCATGCAGAGCCTTGAGGAGTGAAACTCTGACAACTTGCCGACTTGCTGGAGAATCTGGAATAACGCTGGCAGACCAGGGCCCTTCCTCTGAACAGGGAGCAGTTCCCGGGAAAGGAGGTGGCGCGGGCTGGGAGACAGAGACAAGGCCAAAGGGAATAACCCTGCCAGGCTGCAGTGACGTGGCTGCCTTGGCCCAGGGGCTGGGCTGTATCACATGGGCTGGGCTGGGTAGGAGACAGCTCAGGGAAACCCAGGGGCCTTGGTGTTCCTGGCTCTGAAGGTAGCACTCTTTCCTCTGTCTGACAGGACTCCTGGGTTCTAGCCCTGGTTCTGGGAAGGGAGAGGGGTCTCTGTAGGGGTTAGAGCAGGGGGTGCTGGGAGTCAGGACTCCTGGGTTCTAGCCTGGGCTCTGGAAGGGGAGTGACATTCAGTGGGTAGAGCTTAGCTATTACTTGATAGCTGTATCAGCATCTTTATTATTGCCTATCCCGGAAATCTGACAATCTATTCCCCCAGCAGAAATGGAGGTGCCCCTTTCAAGCCCCTCCCCCAAGTACCCCTGAGATGCTTCATTTCAGTGGCCCCGGTGCTGATGTGTGTTGTCCTGGGATGCATTCCTGATTGTGCCTCTTTTTGTCCTCCTCTGAACAGGTGTACAGGAGACCTACGGACAAGCAGGTAAAGATCTGGCTGGGAACGCGGCCCGTACGGGCAGCCTGATGGTCCCTTTTCTCCTCCTGATCATTTTCCCCACAACCCCCCTTTCAGTCATTTATTCAGCTAGTGTCATTTTCTTTGGTGGTTATTTGTGTAGCCAGGTGTCCGCATCAATAGGGGATATTTGTGTTCAGTATAACCAGCCCCCATAGTGATGGGAGGATTTGAGCCCACCATCTCCTGAGTTTAAGGCATGAGCTGCTACCAGTGGAGATAAGGGAGCAGCTCCCTTGACTTGCACCTATTGTAGGCTCATTAACCTCATATGTAAGCCAGCCACTAAGGGAATGACGGCGCCCCCCAGAGGGGAAAGGGAATGAACATCTATCCACCCTTAGGGGTCAGGTCTACATTAAAAAGTTGGGTCAACCCAGCAACCTTGCTCAGGGATGTGAAAAATCTACCCCCCGAACGGCATATTTAAGCCGACCTAACCCCTGGTGTGGACAGCGCTGCGTCGACAGAAGAATTCTTTCATTGACCTAGCTGCTGCCTTTCGGGGAGGTGGATTAAGTACAGCGATGGGAGAGATTCTTCCATTGGTCTAGGTAGTGTCTACACCGCTGTAGCGTTTCAAGTGTAGACAAGCCCTTAGTCTGGGTTACGTTTGTGTTGGGAAGTTGTGGTGCAAATGGTCTCTCAAAACTTTTTGGATGGCATCAATTGGGTTTTCAACCAAATCCCCCCCCCTTTCCCCCCGAAAGGTCTGTTCTCTACAGAAAATTTAGATGCTTTTGTGGAAAAGCTGAACAACCTAAAACCCAAAACAAACAAAAATATGTTTTGGGCCTCGTGAGGTCTGTCCCCAAATCTGAGAGAGGGGTGGGATCTAACGGATTAGAGCAGGGGGCAAGGTGGGGTGGGGAGTCAGGACTCCTGGGTTCTAGCCCAGGCTCTGAGAGGAGTGGGGTCTAGTGGTTAGAGCAAGGGGCTGTTTATGTTTCACTCACTGCTGCTCTGCTCCCCTGCAGGAACGTGTGGAAGTGTAATCATGGGACGGATTGTGGGGGGCACAGATGCACAGGCCGGGCAGTGGCCTTGGCAGGTCAGCCTGAATTTTCAGAGTGTTCATGTGTGTGGCGGCTCCCTCATTTCCCCCCAGTGGGTGATCACTGCAGCGCACTGCTTCCCACCGTAAGTAGGGCAGGGTGGGGGTGATCTGGGCTGGGCCAGGCTCTGAGCGTTACTCGGGGCGGGGGTGGGATGGGAAACTGGACTAGTCAGGAGGAGTCTGTATCTTCCATCCCTTTCTGACCCTAAACCTGTTTGATTGGGTTTCTAAGGACAGACTTCCAGCTGCCCCTACTCTAAACTGCTGGACCCCACTCCCCTACTAGAACCAGAGATAGAACCCAGGAGTCCTGACTCCCGCCCCTCCCCCCATCTCTAACCACCTAAACTCCAGTCCCAGAATGAGGATAGAATGAGAATCTAGGTGTTCTGATTCCTAGCCCCCTCCCCCCAACCCACTAGACCTCACTGAGCTCCCCGAGCCAGGGATAGAACCCAGGAGCCCTGATTCCCAGGCTCCCTCACTCTAACTCACTAGAGCCCATTCCCAATGTGTATGTGTACCACTACCCTCTATAGCACAGACTCTGCCGCCACATGGCGTGTGTCCTTGCCCCTACATTGCTGCTATCTAAGGGAGATTCCCTATTAGCTGAAGCTTTCTGCAGCCTGAGGTGCTGGCTTCTCTCCTTGCTGAGGTCCCACGTCTCTCTCCCGCACCTTACAGGGAAAACCCCATCGCCGACTATGAGGTGACGCTGGGAGCCTTCCAGCTGACCAACCTCCTGTCTAACATCACTGTGGTTGGGGTGGAGCAGGCCATCAAGAATCCCGGCTACACGGATGAGGACTCCGGCGGGGACCTTGCGCTGGTGAAATTGAAAAAGCCCATCTCCTATACGCGTAGCATTCGCCCCATCTGCCTGCCGTCCGCTTCCGTCAGCTTCCCCAGCGGCATGATGTGCACTGTGACTGGCTGGGGGAATGTGCTTACCTCTGGTGAGTGAAGGGTTAGTGCAGCCACCTCTGGGGCGGGGCAGCTGGGTAATGATGTCGCACATGGGGATGGCTCGCCTGGCGCTGAGATGCAGCTGTGTCTGGGGTCGGGCAGCTGGATAACAGCCGCCCAGCAATGTCACAGGGGGATGGCTCGCCTGGCGCTGAGATGCAGCTGTGTCTGGGTTGGGGCAGCTGGATAACAGCCGCCAACAATTTTGGAGAGGAAGGTGAATTGTGTGTTCAGTTGAAACTGCAGGGAGGATTTTTGGGTGTGTACCAGTCCCTGAGCCTTGCTCTGGGATGTGGACTCACTTCAATCCCCCTTACCCCTAAGTCTAGCTTAGAGCCTGGGCTGCTGTGGAGTGAGTCCCTTTGCCCATCCGCCCCCCCCTCACCACAGTGCCCCCGGTGGCTCCCTTTTCCCCCACCTTACTGAGGAGTCAGCTGCCCACCCTGACTTGGCTGATTTCTTTTCCCCGATGTAGTCAGCCTGCCCAATCCCAAGACCCTGCAGCAGCTGGAGGTGCCAGTGATTGGGCTGGAGACCTGCCGCTGCCTCTACAAGATGAGCGCCAACCCAACAGACCCCACGTGATCCAGGACGACATGATGTGTGCGGGCTACGCTGAGGGCAAGAAGGACGCCTGCCAGGTGAGCGGGATGCTGGGCATCCATCTGTGCATGGCACTAAGGGTGGGGCTACTGGGAGTCAGTGCTGGGTACTATGAGCATTGGCCCAATGGTTGGGCTGTAGATTTTCCATCCCTTCTGGGCTTAGGTGCCACTCCTTGACCTTTGACCTCAAGGCCCCCACCCCCGCTCTGCCAGTCTCCACCCACCACGGCTAAGCTTTGTAGAAACCAGTCATTTGTATCCCACTTCTGCCACCAATCCCCCTCCTAATACCATTTCCCTCTCCCCACCCTGTTCTTCCAGGGTGACTCCGGGGGACCCCTCTCCTGCCGTGTGGGCAATGCCTGGCTGTTAGCTGGGGTGGTGAGCTGGGGGGACGCGTGCGGGTCCCCCAACCGGCCTGGCGTCTACACCCGTACCTCGGCCCACACAGCCTGGATTAAACAGATCATCCCGGCGGTGGAGATGAGCGACGTGCGCGTGAATCAGGAGCCAGTCTCGGAGGAGGGGCTGTGTCCCAACACCACCAGTCGGCCTGGCCCCTATGACGGCGTCCAGCCCCATCCCAGCTGGCCCCGGCCAATCTCCCCCAACCAGCCTTTGGACCACGCTACCTCCCACATCCTCACTGCCAGCCTGCTGTTCTTCTGCCTGCTACTTCACGTACTCCCTGCTCTATAGCGCCCCTGCTCTCAAGGTCAGCGCAGCATGGGACCCCACCCCCGCTAAGGCAGTCCAGGGGCGTCTTGCCCCCCTCCCAAACTCAGCAGGATGGTCCCAAGATTTCAAAGTCTTGGGTTTCCCGCCCCATCCCCTTATTGTTCCTGTTTGTTTCCTGCGTTGTGCTGCTCTGTCACGATCAGGGAATTGACGTGACTTCAGGGCACCGCGCTGGCAGCAGCCCTGTTCACGGCAACGTCCTTTCTGCCTCCGGTACTGCAGACCCCTGAGTTCCAGCAAACAGGGTCCTGCAAACCTCTCCCAAGCCTCGCTCTGGGATCGAGGCTCACGCCAACCCCTGAGCCTCACTCTGGGATCGAGGCTCACGCCAACCCCTGAGCCTCACTCTGGGACTCATGCCAACGTCTAAGCCTCGCTCTGGATTGAGATTCACGCGAGCCCCAGAGCCTCACTCTGACTCCCAGGGCCCCACTCTGTGAGAATCAGGGCCCTAGCAGTAGGCAGCTCCCCAACCCCTGTTCCCAGGCCCGGTTCTGTCACCATGACACCTCCTAGGGCAGCCTAACAAGCTCCCTATCTTCCTCTTCCCACCCTGATTTTTCCAGGGAGACTCCGGGGGACCCCTCTCCTGCCAAGTGGGTAGTGTCTGGCTGCTGGCCGGAGTGGTGAGCTGGGGGGAAGCATGTGGGGCCGCCAACCGGCCCGGAGTCTATACCCGCGCCTCAGCCCATGCTGCCTGGATCAAGGAGACCGTCCCAGATGTGGAGCTGAGTGACGTGAGCGTGGATCTGGAGCCGGTCTCTGAGGAGGGGCTGTGCTCCAGGGCAGCTGCTCATCTCCTGGCCCCCTGGCTGCTCTGCTGGGCCTTTCTGAGCCTGGTCCAGGCAGGGTAACCCTACCCCCGCCAACTGTAGAGATGCAAGGCGGGAAGGGGATCTTGAGGGCATGGGATCCGCCACTGTGATCATAGCAACTTGGTGGTGGATACCCCAGTAGAACTGGATTTTGCCCCCTACTTCCCCTCCCCAGAAGGCTATTTTCAGGGTGTCTGCCCGGACAGCCCTTTGACTGTGGTTGTCCCCAAAGGATTCTGGGAGGAGGCAGATTGGCCCCAGAAGAGGGGTGCTCTGGGAAATGTTCCCCTCGTCCTTTTACCCACGTCACGCAGAAACAGCCGGGTTTCAGTCCCAGCATGAGTCAAGCCGACAGGATCTAATGTGACACGTCGGGCAGGAAGCTCTCGGCTTCTCGGAGTCAGCCGAACCCCCAGGGCTGGGCCGAGTGGCACCAGCAGAGCTGGTTTTTCCACCTGGGGAGAGTCACTGAGTGAGGGCAGGTTCTAAAGGGATCGGAGTTCATCACACGTGCCCAGATGTGAGCTAGGGGCTGTGAGCACATGGGCTTGTTCTAACTCAGGGGTGGGGCATGGAAGAGCTGTTTGACTCCAGAGGGAGGGTTTAATAAAGAGGGTGTTAGCCCTGTATTATGGGAAAGGCTCTGTTGTTTTTTTTAAAGGTTTTGTGCTGTTCTAACCTCTAAACCTCACTCCCCTCCCAGAGCTGGGGCTAGAACCCCGGCATCCAAGTGCCCAGCCCCACCCCCCTCCCATAGCTGGGGCTAGAACCCCGGCATCCAAGCGCCCAGCCCCACCCCCGTCTCAGAGCCAGGACTAGAACCCAGGAATCCCCACTCCCCTCCCAGAGCCAGGGCTCGAACCCAGGTGTCTTGACACTCAGAACTCAGTTATAGGGGCCCTGCCCCACAAAGAGAAGGATGGGCCACATCTGGCTACACCTTGTTTTGCTGGCCAAGAGGTTGGGTGTTGGGAACAGTTAATCCAGGGCTGGGCAGTGCTAATGCACCTGGTGAATCCGGGTTGGAGCTGGTCCAAGGAACCTGCTGGCAGGGTCAGGGAGAGGCGCCTCAGTGGGAGGCACATGCACTGATCTGGCTGGGTGCGGGGAGGTCTTAACTCTTAGGGGAGAGGCTGGTGCAGTGATGGGATGGCTGAATACAGCCTGGAATGAACTTCTGTGCTTCCCATGGGCCAGGATCCCTCTCCCCCAAGGGTGTTCTCCCCACCCTGTGCACCTACCAGGATCCCCTCCCCCACCCCATGCCATCTGCACCCCTCTGCCTGGGCAATCCTGCTAAAGTGTGCACCATACCCTCTGTGACACCAGTCCCAGGCAGGCTTCCTGACAGCCACGGGTTGTTCAGACTTTTCCTTTTTATTTATGAAAAATACACGCTTCTTAAAACAGAAAAAAATACACCTGTAGGCAGTGAGCAGGAGTGCAGGGAAGCCGTGGGGACTGGCTTGGGGGCTGTCTGCACCAACCCTTCCCGCACGCTCCAGCCCCCTCGGCAGCAACGCTTACTTGCACCTCCAGCTGGTGAAGCCAGCCTAGGGATTGGAGGAGTGTGAGATCAGTGCTGAGGTTAGAGCCCTGAGACAGTAGCTGCTGTGTATCCCTGGCCCAGGGTACCACATGCCTCCACCCCATGCAGCGCTTGGCTGCTGAATTGAGACCAGCCAAACTCAGCAGACATCCCCACGTCCCTGCTTTTCCTCCAGTCCCTTGCGGGGAGGCCATGATGTCTGGAATAGGTGATCAGGGAGGGATCCCAGCAGTGGAGGAGGGAAAAGAGAACTGGGACAGGGCAGGAGGGGCACGGGGAGCCCTGGCCTAAGGAGTGCAGGCCAAAGGGGGGCAGGTCAGGGGGGGAAGAACCCCAGCAGCAGGTTGGCAGCCGGGGCGTGAAAGGTTCCGGAGGGGACCCAGCTGAGATCCTAGTGGGGAGATGCCCACATGAAGGAGGCCCACCAGAAGGGGCATCGTCAGAGCCAGAATGGGCTCTACCTGCAGCAGCTGGGGCGTGAAAGGTTCCGGAGGGGACCCACCTGAGATCCTAGTGGGGAGATGCCCACATGAAGGAGGCCCACCAGAAGGGGCATCGTCAGAGCCAGAATGGGCTCTACCTGCAGCAGCTGGGGCATGTCGGTGGCATGTGTGGGTGGGGTGGTAAGTCCAGGCTACGGGGTTCTGCCCCCCGCGCAGAGACCCCAGCTCAAGGGAGGAGGTGCACAGCGCCAAAGCGGACTGTAGGTTAGAAGGGAATCTCACACTGCCTCTGGCCTGGTCCATGGCATGCGTGACAGATCCAGTCTCCTTGTGCAGCTATCCCAGGACCTTCCCCCAGTGCTGCTTCCCCATATTGCCAGCCATGGAGATCAACTGGACAAGGAGTGTTTGCCCAGCAGAGAACACCCGGTGCCATGCTGTCCTGTTAACTCATTAGCACCCCTGGGCATCTCTCCCCCCTTTCCTGCCAGCTGAGTAACTCCTCCTGCCCCAGACTCAGCTGCTGCTGCTGCCCACCAGAGCCTCTGAAGCAGCCTGCACCCCCCCCCGACAAATTAGCCAGCCCACCAAGGTGATGTTGACCGGCGTGCAGCATGCAACTGACTAGCTGGGCAGCCGACCCTGGGCGTGGTGTGGGGAACCCCCTTTTCTAGTGCTGTTAGGGAGGGCAAAGCTCACCTATGGGCCTATTCTGCCGTGCAACGCTCACGGGGAATGAGATGCGACAGGACAGGATCCCAGCCCTGCTGATTCGGCGCTGGCCTAATGAACGCCCCACAGCCGGCTGGGGCGCCCTGTCCGCCCAGCTGAAGGTTTGTTCTGGTGCTCTGTGGTCAGGCGGGGTGCAGCCCAGATCCTCATGCAACGGAGGGGGATCCCACCGTTCCTTCACTTCTTGGAGATCTTGGCCTGCTTGTGTTTGGGGGGTGCCCACTTGAGACAGATGGAATCCACTGAGGAGGGAAAAAGGGGAGGGGGCAAGTTTGACAGAATCTAGGAACATCCCCACCCTCCATTGCTCTCAGGCCAGAAGGACCCAATCAGATCATCGTCTGACCCCCCCCTCTAGCACCAGCCAGAAACTCTCAGCCCGTTACCCCTGTGTCAAACCCAGTGACTAAAGCACCCTCAAGAAAAGGCCCCAGTGTGGACTGGAAGCCATTAAGGGACAGACATTTCAGCATTGCCCTGAGGAGTTTATGGAGGGGATGGCATGACACGACTGCCTACAATGGCATGTCACTGATCTGCGACTGCTAGCAGCAAATATCCCCAACGGCCGGTGACAGGACACTACATGGGAAGGTCTCTGGTTTACTACAGAGAATTCTTTCTGCCTGGTGGGTCTCACCCACATGCTCAGGATCTAGCGAATCGTCATATTTGGGGTCGGGAAGGAATTTCCCCCCAGGTCAGATTGGCAAAGACCTGGAGGTTTTCGCCTTCCTCTGCAGCATGGGGCACAGGTCACTTGCTGGTTTAAACTAGTGTCAATGGTGGATTCTGTGTCACTTGAAGTCTTTAAACCCCGATTTGAAGACATCAGTAACTCAGCCAGAGGTTAGGGGACAATTACAGGAGTGGGTGGGCGAGGTCCTGTGGCCTGCAATTTGCAGGTCAGACTAGATCAGGATGGTCCCTTCTGCCTTAAAGTCTGTAAGTTTGTTCCAAGGGCTGATACCTGCACTGTTAAAAACTGGTTCCCTATTTCTAATTGGAATGTGTCTGGTTTTAACTCGCAGCCCTTGGTTCTTGTTCTGCCTTTCTCCACTAGATTAACGAGCCCGTAAGGATCTGGCATTTTCTGCCCCCGGAGGTACTTTTACACCAGGATCAAGTCACCGCTCAGTCTTCTTTTGATCATAGAATATCAGGGTTGGAAGGGACCTCAGGAGGTCATCTAGTCTAACCCCCTGCTCAAAGCAGGACCAATCCCCAACTAAGTCATTCCAGCCAGGGCTTTGTCAAGCCTGACCTTAAAATCCTCTAAGGAAGGAGATTCCACCAACTCCTTAGGTAACCCATTTCAGCGCTTCACCACCCTTCTAGTGAAAAAGTGTTTCCTAATACCCAACCTAAACCTTCCCCAGTGCAACTTGAGACCATTGCTCCTTGTTCTGTAATCTGCTACCACTGAGAACAGCCGAGCTCCATCCTCTTTGGAACACTCCTTCAGGTAGTTGAAAGCAGCTATCAAATCCCCCCTCATTCTTCTCTTCTGCAGACTAAACAATCCCAGTTCCCTCAGCCTCTCCTCATAAGTCATGTGCTCTAGCCCCCTAATCATTTTTGTTGCCCTCCGCTGGACTCTTTCCAATTTTTCCACATCCTTCTTGTAGTGTGGGGCCCAAAACTGGACACAGTGCTCCAGATGAGGCCTCACCAATGTCGAATAGAGGGGAATGATCACGTCCCTCGATCTGCTGGCAATGCCCCTACCTATACAGCCCAAAATGCCGTTAGCCTTCTTGGCAACAAGGGCACACTGTTGACTCATATCCAGCTTCTCGTCCACTGTAACCCCTAGGTCATTTTCTGCAGAACTGCTACCTAGCCATTCGGTCCCTAGTCTGTGGCAGTGCATGGGATTCTTCCGTCCTAAGTGCAGGACTCTGCACTTGTCCTTGTTGAACCTCATTAGATTTCTTTTGGCCCAATCCTCTAATTTGTCCAGATCCCTCTGTATCCTATCCCTACCCTCCAGCGTATCTACTGCTCCTCCCAGTTTAGTGTCATCTGCAAACTTGCTGATGGTGCAGTCCAAGCTAAACAGATCACGCTCCTTATGCCTCTCACTTTCTCCACCCCACCAATCAGTTTTGGGCTCTTTAAAGGCTGCTACAGGGAAGTGCTGGACTCTCATTAAGGGTGCTGTATAAATGCACTTC